ATATATATATATATTACATGGGTTTTTGTTGAATTTGTTTGGTTTATTACATACAATGTGATATGGTGTTTGAGAGTATGGAGGTTGGTTTTCCTTTTATGCCCTGCAATGCTAATCTGCAGGCTTTCTCTATCTGTTGCGTCTGTTTCAGTGCTACGTAGCTTCTGTACTTGGATTGTTCACTGCAACAGTACTTCTACAAATTGGAATTGGACTTAAGAATTGCTCTCACTCTTTTTTCTCCACTGATACAGGTTTTTACCTCCTGGAGTTTGTCTATGTTTATTCTCCCCTGCAGCTTGTTTGCAGCCCTTTCAAGCTGCATTTTTTTTAAGCAATGCGACTTACCTTCTTGGGCTGCCTCTTATCTATCTTACTGATGGTTTGGATTCAACTGGTTGCTTGCTTATTTTTTATGCAAACTGTTGATGTTGGATATAACTGGGTGCCTTTCTCTGCAATAGTTCTCTTTTATATTGAACTGGGATCTCAGGATTCACTCTCTCTACATGGCTCTGGAATAACTGTTTCACTTCCTTCTTCTAGTGGTCTGTTTTTTGTTTTGTCCTCATGCAGATTTCAGATGGGACTGTTACTGCTAATGATGTAGTTGCCTTTGTTTGTTGTGCTATTTTCATAATTTTCTGTTTTCGTAACTGTGTTAATTGGGAAGGTCTTTTTGGAGTACTTATTTTCTCTTTGGGTATAAATGAACATTTTTTGGAGGATCCTTTTGTGTGTTGTATACCTGGTGTATTGGGACCCTAGGGCTGTGTAATATGTATTTTTTTGCATTTATAGTGGACGCACAAACCAAATCTTTTGTAACATTTTCCCCAATTAATAAAATTTCCTCCAAGCTTCTTTAATATATATATAGATATACATACCTATGCATGTATATTGATACATAAATATGCATGTATATACGTGCATATATATATATATATATATATATTAAGAAAAAGAAAGCATATATATATATATATTTAGAGAAGGGGCTTTTCTATTTTGGTAAAAGAGTTTTACATCTGATATAACGGAATTCCAAGGAATCCCCATGAAGCAAAATCTTAAAAGATCTATTTGGGAGACTAGAGAACAAAACTCTCTCACTATTACAACCATTTTTGACCTGCAGTTTGCTGATAGATTTCCTTCTCTGGGGATATGTGTCCAGATGACCTTTGTTGATTTAGATAAGAGAGAGATCTTCTTGATTCAGTGGATAAGCTGCCATGGGATGTTGGAGTTCTTATGCAAGATCTGGATGAGTTGTAAGGCATCAAACTCCATATGTATGTATTTGAACCGTAATGATATTGCTAGCTTGAGGGCCCAGTCTTCAGGGCCCAGTAGACTGCAGCAAATTCAATCTCTAAGGCATTGTTTGTGGCCACTGGTGATTGGAAGAACCAAAGACAATTTTCATTGTGATCTCTGCAGAAACCTCCAATTCCCGGAGCAACCTGAGAAAAACTTCTATTAGTGTTGATCTTAACCCATGGTTAAGCAGGCCTTCTCCATATCACTTTTTATATTACATGTGTCTTTAGTGAACTAGCCTCCCAATAAGTCTGATGGAAAATTTTCCTGATTCTAGTTCTATAGGAGATAAAGTTGTTATAGATAGCCACAACTGATACATTCAGATTTTCATGTTTAGCATTGTTTCTAGCCATCCATAAGAACCAAGCAATGATTAGAATTATGTATTGTTGTTGTTGCTCCTTTCAGTCATTCCAAAATTCTTCTATACTTACCAAATTGTTAACCATAGATTTCAACCTCAGAACTCCAAGGATTTTAGTCCAAACAGCTCTAGAAGTTTGGCAAGTGATAAATAGGTGAATTAGGCTCTTCTCCTCTTAATAGCATAGGTTATATCTTGAAGCACCTCTCAGCCTCTTCAATTTCAGGATATCATCTGTAGGTAAGAACCTTTTGAACAGCTTCCAATAGAAAACAGACATTGAAGACGTAAACATTTTGTCCCAGATTAATTTGCCCCAGCTCATCTCTTGTCATCTGAAGGTAGATCTAAAAATGAACTTGTTTACAGATTGGCTAGCAGGATTTTACAGGATGATTTTGTCTGATTTTCCACGATCTATTGGAATTGCTTGGAATTGAAGAATAGTTTCCTGAGGAGTTCCACATCCAAATTGTTGTCAATCCAGAAGTCATAAACTTTGTTGCTTGTTGCAGCACTATTGTTGTCTCTGTCACTGATTTTGACATTTGTCATGTGTCAAGTTAGAAATCAATATCACCCTTTCCCACATCCTATATGAAGGAAATTTCTGCTTGTTGTCTTACTTGAGAAGTTTCTTCCAGTGTTTAGAATCCCCCAGCCTTTGTTGAGCCTTGTTAGGACGAGATCTTTGTAGAACTTTCCCCACATGAATTTGGCCTATAATGAATTGTGAGCTCTAAATTTAATCCCCTGCTTATAGTAGAAACATAACTAATCTGTTGGAAAGGTTCGCAAATTTTATTCCAGCTAGACCAGTTTATTTGTTTGTGCTAACCCTCCCAAAGAAACTTGTTGAAAGTTATTTCTAGCATTCTTTGTGTACTTTTCTTCATCTTAACCATTTGTAAGGTAAAGAGAGGGAAGGAGGTGAGAATTCTTCTAAGAAAAGTGAGTCTGCCTCCATTGAACAAGAAAGAGCTGGTCGAACAGTTTATTTGAGCTGACACCTGGCTCACCACCTCATCATATTGTGTTTGTTTTCCCCTTCCTTTGATGAGTTGTATGGCCAAGTACTTGTGTGGGAGATCTACCTGTTTGAATCCAGTAAACTATTTGATCCAATTTTTTTACATTGTCGCTCGTTTTATTGTTGCCTAGAATTTGACACTCGTCTTTGTTGAACCTCATGTTTGTCATATCTTGGAAGTTGTCTAGTAGTGACATGATTTTCCTCACAGCTTGCTTGCAACCATTGGTGAACACAATTATATCAACCTAAGCAAGGAAGCTAACCATACAGTTGGACCTATGTTGATAACTGATGTAGAGAAAGTTTTGATGGGCTTGATTAATCATTCTTGACAAGTAATCAAATGCCAGAATGAAAATAGTTTGAGAGAGAAGATCCCCTTGTTTGATGCCTCTCCAAGCTTTGAAGAATCCATGATATTCCACCTTGATGTTATAGTGAGCATTGGTCAGCCATCTATTCATGAGATTACAAAAATCCCTGCTAAAGTCTCTAGCGTCCAATATATTTAGTATGAAATCCCAACTTATTGTATCATATGCCTTCTTTAGATATAACCCAACTTATTGTATCATATGCCCTTCTTTATATATAATTTTAGGATTATATTGTCACCCCTGCAAGGCTTGTTAATGTCCAATAGCATCTCCTGTGCCAACAGAATATTATCAGTTATACATCTCCCTTATATAAAAGTTGACTGGTTTGAGGTGATGAAAATATTCATGTGTTGTTGTAATCTGTCCACCAAAATTTTACTAATATTCTTAGTAACAGTGTTTGTGAGACTAATTGGTCTAAATTCATGCCAAGTGTCCTTTTTGTTTTCCTTTGGGATTAAAACCATAGTTGTGATTGTGAAATATTCAGGCAAGTCAGCTCCAAGGAAAAAGCTTTGGACAGCAGCCACCACATCCTTTTTTATCACTTCCCATGTTTTTTATAAAAATCAGCTGTGTATCCATCAGAGCCTGCAGTTTTGTTGTTGTCAATGGTTTCCAGTGCCATTTTGATCTCCATTTCATCTGGTACATGTGTTAGGTTGAGATTATTGGTCATATCTCTTCCCTCTTCAAATAGAACTAAGACACTTTGTGATGATTTGACTGAGTGTATGCCAACATATTTTCAAAGAAATCCAAAGAACTTTTAGCAATTTGTGGGGGTTATGTTAACCATATATCTTGAAGGGCCTTGATTTTGGATTGCATTGAACTTCCTTCTATATTTGATTACTGCTTGGTAGTACTCTTTTTCTATCACCATATAACATTTTGGTGACAACTGCCTTCTGTTCTAAGAATTGCTACTCAAGATTGATAGCCTTCCCTAGGGACCCAACACACCAAGTATACCTGCCTTCTGTTGAAGGATCCTTCCCAATTTTTTCCAAATTTCCCGTGCAAAAGGGCATAAAAAATAAAGATTTAAAGCACTTCCGAACATTTCCAAAGGCAACATTGTGAAGCTAATCTCAGTCCCTTAAGCTTCAAGATGTCATCAAAAGGCAGTAAGTTTAGAAAATTTCTCCATAAGAATATCGAGATTGAAGGAGTGAGACATTTATCCCACATATTAGCTCCCCATTTCCAAAGCTCCCCATTTCCAATTTCCAATTATCAAAGCGATGCAATGAGTTATAAAGCATTTTTGAGATGGATGTGTTTCGGCCTGATTTCCAATGGGGTTTGTCTTTTGTGTTATTGCCTAATGGTATGTTAGAAATTTGGGGGGTGAATTCCCCACACAAAATCTCTCAACAAATGCAGATTTCATTGCCCTTCCAAACAAAAATCAGAGACAGAGAAGTGAGAATGTAAAGAAGAAGGGAGAATCACTCAAAAAATCAACCCCCAATTATAATACCAAAAAAAAATGCTTCCATCACCAATTTCCCAAAAAATAAACCTATTAGCCTCACTTCTTAACTTTAGAATTGACTTCCAGATTTTAGAATCACAAGGCTTCCACTCAACAGCAGAAGGATGATGAAAAGAACAATATTTATGATATTAAAATTGAGCCCAAAGGGAATTCCCTTCTTTAAATTTGAACCAAAGTTTAAACTTGTTGATATCAACTATATGATTTAGGCCTTTAAAGCCAAGGCCACTGGAGTTTTTAGGTTTGCACAGTTTTTGCCAACCGGACCAAATTTTCCTAGTGACATTTCCCGCCCATATAAACATAGTAAAAATTCTCTCCAAAGTAATTTTGTGTGGTTTTCTTTAAGTTCAGCACCTGTAAAGCATAAAGAGGAATACTTTGTAAAGCACTTGTGAGAAGAGTTAGCCTGCCCCGATTAGATAAAAAAATGTTCCTTCAATCATGAATTCTGGCTTTGATATTCTCAATTACAGCATCCATTTGGGTTTGTTTCTTCCTACCTCTAAAAATATTTATACCTAAATATTTGATAGGAAGAGAAAAGATATAACCTGAATAATTGACGGACAGGTGATAATGTTTTGTTTCACCGATTTTCTAAAGAATAGCTGACACTTAAAATGATTTAAAATGAGACCGGATATGTTTTGAAAAGTGTTTAAGGTGCCCATCAGCCTTTTAATGGAATTCTTGCCCGCGTTAGAGAATATGATAGCATCATCTGCATAAGATAAATGAATCACCATAATCTTAGATTTGTAAGAGAATTGTGTATGTTATAAAAGTAGTTGTTATTTCTCAATTAATCGTGTGAGATAATCAAAAGCAATGATTAAAATTGTGAGAAACAAAGGATCTCCTTAATTGATGCCCCTCTTAGCAGAGAAAAACCCATGAGAAACACTATTCACCAACACAATATAATAATTATTTTCAAGCCAACTTTTGATAATCAAACAAAAGTCCCTGAGAAAACCTTTAAGAAATAGGACAATTAAAATAAAATCACACTTTAAGTGTCAAAAGTTTTTTCGATCTCAAGTTTCACCACCAAATTGCCACTTCGGCTTTTCTTATCCAAGTCCTCAATGAGTTTTTGAGCTAGCAAGATATTATCAGTAATATCTCTATCTTTTATGAATGTTGATTGTTGGGGTGTGATAAAAATAGATAAATGAGGTTATAACCTGCCTGCTAGAATTTTGCTGATGACTTTAGAAATCAAAGAGGTTAGACAAATTGGCTTGAAGTAATTCTGACTATTTTTTGGTTTACCTTTAGGGATAGCACACTAAGAGACGAGATAAGGTATTTGCAAGCGTTTTCACTAAAGAAAAACTTTGAATAGCTAGAATCACTTCCTTTTTAATGATACCCAAACATTTCACATAAAACTTAGATGTGAAGCCATCAGGTCCGGCGGCTTTGCTTTTATTTATATCTTGGAAGGTTTTGAAAATTTCCTCTTCAGAGAGAGGATGAGAGAGAGAGAGCTTTGATATATAATCATTTTCCCCGTCGAAAAGAGTAACAAGGGAAACCTGAAGAGAAGAGTCAAATAAATCAGTGTAATAAAGAACAACGCTGCTACCAATTTCGTTTTGCTTAGTGTTCCAGCATCCACTTGTGTCCTTTATCATGAGGATTGAATTTATGTTCCTTCTATATTTAATGGTGGCATGAAAATACTTGGTGTTCCTATCCTCATCATTGAAATAAATATCATTAGTTTTCTGCTGAAGAAAGCTCTCCTCCACAATGATAGTGTCAAGAAGAAACTTGTGAATAGTAGTTAACTCATCTGTAGAAGCAAAATTATTCAAACCCTGGGATTCCAAAAACCAACCTTCAATTGTGCCTCCAAGACTTTGTGACGTACATCGACAAAAACTTTCAAATTCCAATCCCAATCCCTAAGCTGAGAAGCTACTTTTTTGTGTAGTTGTCATAGTAAATACCAGGGGCTGTCGGCCCCATTACTAATCCAGGCCAATTGAATTTGGCTAAAAAAATAGGCATGAGAAGTTCAAATATTCAAAAATCTGAAATTATACTTGGGGAATTAAAAAAAGCCAAGGATAAGAGAATTGGATTATGATCAGAGGCAGCATGATTAAGATGTTGCATAGTAGAAACTGTAAAATAAACCAGCAAATACCGGTTAGTGTAAGGATTATCGGTAAGCTTGTCACAAAATTTTTTAATAAGAGGCATTTCACATTTTACCCCTCCCTTCTTCTCAGAATGGTTTATTATCACATTGAAATCCACACCAAAGAGCCAATTATGAATAATGTATCACTCATAAGAGCTAATTCTGTCCATAGTGATAATATATCATGAATAGAACAACCAGTATAAATAAAAGTAGCCCAACTGTGAAATCCCTCCATTTTGAATCCATTTTGAAGGAACAAATTGAAGGAACAAAGGACAAATTGATCATCGTCTTCAACAATAGATAAAATGACTTTAGGTTTTCAAAAAACCAAAATCTTAATGTTGATATTGCAATAATGATTATAGTGTTGAAATCTCATCAAAATTTTATCTTTGTTCACAAAGACAAGAGGTTCAAGAATAGCAAAAATAAATAGCTTAGGACCCTACATAAGTATTTAACTCTATTAAAGGAGTATGGGTCAGCTAATCCCTTAATATTCCAAATCATAATATTAAACATCATGAAGTAGTCCACCCCTCCTAGAAATTTTAATTAGGGTGTGATGCTGCTCCCCATCGGAATGATAATTGCCACAAGTGATATTAGTGATGTTCCCCTCATTGGGATGCAGAAACTCATTATTTTTCTTCCCCCACTTTTTTGTATGTTTTCCGAATAATCCATTCATTTTCTTAAATTGCAGTTATCTCATTCAATTTTATATGTGGATTAACATCAAAGATAATATTATTCATATTATTATTCATACCATTTTCATACTCCAAGTGTGGTGAGCATCAGGACCGTGAGGTCCTACCTGTTGACACACCAAATTGTCAACAAGAGACGCAGATGCAGCCCCTACAAAAGGAACATCATTCAGGTTACAGGAAGTAACTTAAAACCCTTCAATATTTCCTTCCAAATTAACAACATTGACAGAATTACAATTGGTATTTGTGATATTAGCAGTAGATGTGGGGTTTGAGTGAGCAAGAGCAAGAGGAATTCCTTCTAAATTTTCAGCATTCAAAGTATTACAATAGGTAGTAGGTGTGGGGCTTGAGTGAGCAAGAGCAGGTTGAGGGTGTTTGAATGGCGCACCGTTTCCTTAAGATTTTAAGTGAGGATGTAAGTGAAGATAGAGAGTTAGAGTGCCCAAACATACGACAATAAAAGCAATAAAGAGGTATTGTTTAATTACAACCGTTTGCCAATATCATTTATGTTGCGAACCAATCCAAATTTTCACAAGAGAAAGTGGAGTAATATCACGTTCAACCAGAACCCTAGCTTCAAATGGTCGATAGAGATTGAAGGTAAGAATGTGTGCTTTGAGAGGCTTACGATATATCATGGCGATAGAGTACAACATTTCATGATTAAAGAGATGAAATTTCAGACCTGGGAAACGCAACCAGATAGGGATGGTATGGGGTTCTGTGAGCGGGTCAAAATCGGCTGTCCATTTCAGAATCTTCATCGCATGATTATCTATTCTGAGTAATCTCCTAGCAAATAGACGAGTGTAGTCATCGTTATTGGATATTTGAATAAGTATATGTCTCCCATCTAGTTGCCCGATTTTCCACTCCCCCGCCAAATGCATTAACTCGAACACTTTTCGAATAACGTCAAGTTAAGGGTGTCCGTAAGGAAATTTACCGACTAAGGCAAGGCGACAAGAGGAAGCTAGAATACAATATTCGACGTGAGAGATGAAAATAGTTGATTTCGCGATTTTACGGCCTGCTTTCTTGATAAAATCAGAATCACCGCCAAAAGCTAAAGCTTCATAAAAGGAGTGCGGGAACATACAAGATTTAGGGGCATCAATTGATTTGTCACCGGCAAGAGCTTCGATGTTTGTTCAATCGGAAGCCATCGTCAGAAACAGAAGAGGCGAAGAGGAGAGAAGAGGAGACGAGACGAACTATAGGGGTCGCCATAGAATCACCTCAGAGGAAAAAAGACCCTAGCAGAGCGAACGCAGTCATCGTGTTAAAAAAATTTTGTGTGTGTGTGTGTGTGTGTGTGTGTGTGTGTGTGTGCATAAAATAATCGAGGCACTGCCTCAAACGTCTTAAAGCATAAAAAATTGAGGCATGTGCATCTGATTAAAAGAAAAAATGCAAACCTCACATTAAAGCTTTATTTGTGCATGTTTGAGGCACAACTCTAGGTGTGAGTCTCAAATGCCTTTTAAACAATGGGCAGAATAATAATTTTAAAATAAATAAATTAGTCTAAGGATTTATGAGTGACACTACTAATCTCATGGATCACTAAGTTTTCATGAACTAGATAAAAAGAGAAGAATTTTTTAGTTCAATGAAAAACTGACGGAGGTAAAATTGATGGAAATATATATAGATATATATATACACTACAATATATGTAGTAAGCAAGGACCTAATATTGAAGCAAGCACGGCTACATAACATTATTATTGATTATCCCTTGATACTAAAAATATGTTGCTAAGTTGATGCACCTTGAAGCCTTTATACTAGTGTCTAGAAATGTTCTAGCATGCTTCTAATTTTGGCATCAATGCTTCTTATACTAACAATATCAGGAAATGCTATTTAAATTTTCTGACGAAAAGGATGTCATCTTACTTCAAGGGATTACATAATATCTCTTGACCTTCTAAAGAGTTACCATCAAATAAAATATCAAGGGAGACTTCATCCCAACAAAGAAATTAATGTTTGTTTTTTGATATTTGATAATCAAGATTGGTAAGAATTTTCTTGATGTACTTCAACTAATTAGAAATTATTTATTTATGTAATTTCTTTTCTTATGAGAGTCATAATGTTATAAGCCCAGTGGAATAATTTAGACCTAATATTTAAGCAAGCACGGCTACATAACATTATTATTGATTATCCTTTGCTACTAAAAATATGTTGCTAAGTTGATGCACCTTGAAGCCTTTATACTAGTGTCTAGAAATGTTCTAGCATGCTTCTAATTTTGGCATCAATGCTTCTTATACTAACAATATCAGGAAATGCTATTTAAATTTTCTGACGAAAAGGATGTCATCTTACTTCAAGGGATTACATAATATCTCTTGACCTTCTAAGAGTTACCATCAAATAAAATATCAAGGGAGAGTTCATCCCAACAAAGAAATTAATGTTTGTTTTTTGATATTTGATAATCAAGATTGGTAAGGATTTTCTTGATGTACTTCAACTAATTAGAAATTATTTATTTATGTAATTTCTTTTCTTATGAGAGTCATAATGTTATAAGCCCAGTGGAATAATTTAGACCTCCAATGAACTAACTGTAATAAAAAATAACTTCTCAGGCTATATGAAAAAAAACCATAAAGAATTAAATGAAGATTCCTATAGCTCACAGGTTGGTTCTTTGCCTTTTCCTTGTGTTTGGAATACTCAACAGTTCAGATCTTAATTGAAGAGTTAATTAATTTAGGTTTTTTTAATAATGCCTACTGAATCTACAATTTGTTCCTACGAGCAATAGTATCAAGATAAACTTCATGTCGATACAGTATCAAAAACAATGAAATATTAAATACTTAAATGTCGCCTAACGGTTCTGCAACATTGATTTTCTACAGATTTGCCAAAAACAAAATACTGTCTACTTTCATTCCATCAAATCTGCATCAGGAGAAAAAGCTGGCTCCCAAATAAAACTTCATGCAGCAAAGAAGACCTAAACTGTTGGGAAAAACTTTGATATCAATCCAGACAAGTGTAATACGATTGTAGGGCGAGAATAATGGGCTCCACAAATTTCCAAATTATAGATGAGAAGTTGTGATTTGCTGAACCAAGCAGAAAGAATCAAGCATACCATTAAGTTTTCCATGCATGGGGGCATTTACACACAGCACACAATTCTTATGTATTTACATATCTCACACCTAAACTTTCATATTTACAAGCATAGCAATATTAACACTTTTTAAAAGTCAAATCCACCTTTTCATGCATAAGTTTAAAGCACCAAACTGCTACGTATGTAAACATGTAAGTTATGTGTGAGATATGTAAATAAATACGAATTGCATGCTACATGTGTAAGTTCCCCAAAACATGTAAGGCTATAATGATATATTGAACGTGCATGCATATGGAAAGTTTAATCGCGTAAGTATTTGTATCAAAAAAAGCCTTTAACAGGCATTGAATCACTTGCTACAGGACAGCTAAAAACAAAATATAAGGGAGAACAGTGCTGTAGAACCAAACCTGCGTTCCCCAGTACGAGTTGAATGTCCGAACAATGAATGACAATATATTTGAAAGTATAGGATTATTATAATAAGATAGTAGATAGTCTGAAAGCCTATGCTCCACAATTCCAGCAATAACCTACGGTACAAACAATTTCACATTATCTACACTAATAAATTCATACCCAAGGAAATAATGTTTAAAAGTTTACACTCGCAAAACATTTTTCAGTCTAACCATATTAGAAATAATCTTATACCAACTAATAAGTGATCAAAAACCACAAAAAATGATACAATACAGCATAGGGCTGAAGAAATACATGGTCATCATAATTATTCATTGTCAACATGCATATTCAAACATCACTGAGCCCATCTTCACTCAATATTGAATTCCATACAACTAATTAGGGTTGCCAATGTATCTTGTTGCTTGCAAACTCGAAGCCATGCTCAATTAATAGCTCAAATTTTACTCACTGACTAATTGTGTTGACCTCAAGTGACATTAGAAGATTGTTATATCAATGAGCTCCTACGTTTTCATCTGGGGGCATTTACATACGTACGACCCAATACGTATATATTTACATATCTAAAATCTAAGTTTATTTGTTTTTACATACGTAGACCTAAGTTTATTTGTTTTTTTTAATACCATCAAATCTTTGACATCACATCAAAAATACAACCATTTTTCACTTTTAAAAAGTGAAATACATCATTTCATGCATAGGTGAGATGGCATGTAATAAAAATTGAAGTTAAGGTGTTAGATATGTAAATACATAGGAATTGAGTGGTTTGTATGTAAATCTTCCTTTCACCTCTTATAGTAGCAAAACGGAAACAATGCAATCAGCATGCATTCAAAATAATGACTAGACAACAAACGGAGGGCTACATAAAACTTTAAAAGCAAATACATTGAACAAGCTTTAAACATCACAAATATCATAATATTAAATTCAAATGATTTAGAATGTCATATATAATTCAGGTCATAAATCACTTATTTCATAACCAAATATCACAACATTTTTGAAATATTAGATGTACGTTTAAATGATCTTCAAATAAATTATGTTAAGTATGAAAACAATTTTAAAAAATGAAAAATCAGATAGTCTCATCTTTCCTTTGAAAACAATAGAAATCAAAATATGGATGGTAGGACAATGTATATCTCCTAATAAAAGTCAAAAAAGTTCTCCCTTCATAGAAAAGTGCAATTCACCTCCTACTTTTGTGCTCAGCCTACCACCTCTCACGGACTTCAAAATCAAAATCAACTTCATTAAAGAATTCTATAATAATAAGACATATAGATGAAGATTCATCAGTTCTCATATTTTATTTTCATGCCATAGTCACGTTTTTGGAACGAGATAAGATAAAACAACTTATAAAAGCCAATGCGAACATAAGCTTAACATGTGATTCTCAAGATCACAAGTAACAAAAAATATTCTAGAAGTTATTAATATCACATTTTTAACATATGTTCTAGTTTTATGTATTATAATGAGATAAAAGAGCTTGAAGACGCAGCTGAGAAAACATCATTTTTACATGTGCTTCTGAAGACCAAATAAAAACACGAGGAAACTGACGAAAACACATCTACTTTTACATAGGCTTATCAAGATTAAAACTATCAAATATGTTCTACTTATTATGCCGTTGTACAAAATCCAAATAAGGAATTAATTTGAAGGATAGTAAGCCCCTGCGCATGTAGTGGCTATAATGCTATAATGCCAATTCCAAGGATGGATGGTTGTATTCTCTAGAAATTTTGAAGAGAGTTTTATTTCTCGCTCTCCGAATGCATTACACCTTCCTATATATATATAATAATAAAAAAAAACCAAAATATGAATTCCAACAAAAATAAGGTAAACAAAAAATTGAAATATCTAATAAAGGAAATACAATTAGTGAAATATATTCTAAGGATTCCTTTCTAATACAGATTGACACTTTCCAATACTCCCCCTCAAGTTAGGATGTATATATTATATAGACCAAGCATGGACTTTAATTTATCATGATTGACCCTTAGTAGTGCTTTAGCAAGAATATCAGAAATCTGGAGTTATGTAGGAACAGCTGAGCTGAATAATTACATTGTTAACCTTTTCTGAGATGAAACTTGGTCAATATCGATGTATTTTGTTCTATCATAATGCACAAAATTTTTTGCTCTACTAATAGTTATTTGATTATCACTGAACAGCTTAATTATGTCTTTCATCTCAACCTTAAGTTCCCTTAATAGCCTTTAAATCTACATTCAAATCTTGCTCTTCTCCGAGGACAACAACTTGTTTTTTGTTTCTCCATATGACAAGATTTTCCCATACATATGAACAGCCTATCAATTATCCCTCATGTCCAACTAGCAAATGTGTATATCTCAATCTTACAGTTTTCAAATCTTTTGAAGAACAAACTATTTCTAGGAGTCATCTTCAAGTATCTCAGAATTTGATTCACTGCTTCAAAATGATCCTCATTTGGGTTATGTGTTGGCTTACTATACTAAATATGCAATATCAGGTCTTGTGTGTGATAGGTAAAGTAGTTTGCCCACAAGTCTTTGATATGTTTCTTTGTCAACTTTTGTTCAGCCTTGTGTTGGAATTCGTAGATATGTCAGAAGGTTTACACCCAAGCATAATAGTTTCATCTAACAGGTCTGAAATGTACTTCCTTTGGGATACGAAAATTCCCTCTACAGACCAAGCCACCTCCATTCCTAGAAAATATCAGAGATTCCCAAGATTCTTGATTTCAAATTATGTTGCAAGCATCCTTTTCAGTTTTATAATTCCTTTGAACATCACCTGTCGCGATAATATCATCTACATATACTATGAGAATAACAATTTTGCCTCTAAAATTAGATTTAACCAGCAGTGTATGATCAATTTAACATTGATGATATATGTTTGTAATCATTGTTTTAGCAAATATACCAAACCAAGTATGAGGAGATTGCTTCAAGCCATATAAGGACTTCTTCAACTTGCTAACCAACCTGATGTTCAACCTATTTTTCAAGCCCGGAGGTATAGTTATATAGACTTGTTCATCAAGTTCGTCATTCAAGAAGGCATTTTTGCCATCAAGTTGGTATAAAAGTTAATCATGATTCACTACAAAAAAATAGTTGAACGGCATTAAGTTTTGGGACAGCTACAAATTTTTCATGACAGTCAATCTCGTGTGACTGTGTGAAGCTCTTAGCAACCAACTAGGTTTGAATCTCTCTACACTTTATTTTCCTTCGTATTTGACTGTGAATATCCACTTGTAAACTACAATATTTTTTCCATGAGGGAACTCCATAAGTGTCAAGGTGTTACTCCTTTCTAAAGCCCAAATTTCTTCCTCAATTGTTTGTTTTCATTTTGAAAACTTTAGAGCCTCTAGAATACAATTGGGAATCTGCACACCATCAAGGTTTATCACAAAAGTCTTATATAATGGTAGCAACTTCCCATAAGCTATATATCTTTCAAATGGATGACCAGTGCACTCTCAAATACCTTTCCTGTATGCAAATGGTTGATTCAAGTCGACAATCATCTCGGTAAGAGAGTCATGAGTTTAAGAATACATACCACTATGTTTATCATGAGGGTTTGGTCCTGGCACTTGACAGTCCTGAGCCTACATAGTGCCTCTACATGCTCCATGGTCCGTCTGGTATAGACACTAACTTCCTCATCATTGGTGTCATGTTGAGGAATAGAGACAATTTGGACTATTTCTGTGTCAGAGTTTGATTCTGTAAGTAAAGTTGGTTAAGGTGGAGTAAAGACAAGTGCTAACTGAGAGACAAAATTTTGTTCAATTAAAAAAAAACTGGTCATAGTATTTTGGATAGAATCCCAAAACTGATATGCCCTCATTCTTCCCGTGAATTTTAGATTCGGGAAAATAAAATTGATTCTCAAAGAAAGACATCCATGAAGTCATACATTTTTTTAGTGATTGGAGAGTAGTATTTGTACCATTTTTTATTGGATGAGTAACCGACAAAAATGAATCTGAGAGACTTGGATAAAATTTTGTGTGGTGCTGCTGATAGATGTGAATGAAGAAGAAACAACAAAAAATCTTCAATAGTAAGTCATAAGAAAAAGAGTGGATTTGTGGGTAGGAGTCCATGAGAAAATTACGGGAAATTTGAGAATTTATTACTTGATTAAGGCATCCTATTGATGAGGAATGTGGTTGTAGGAAAAGCTTCCCCCAAAAATATTTATGCCCGTGATTAAACAACAAAATAGCATGGGTCACCTCAAGTGTCTATTTTTTTCTTTCCATTATCCAATTTTGTTGAGAAGTATTTACACAATAAATTATATAGATAATATCATATTTGGAAAGATAAAAGCTAAGGATTGAATTAAAGTATTCTTTAACATTATCATTTTTAAGAATTTGAATTTTACTTTTAAGTTATTTGAGAATCATGGAATGAAGGAATTGAAATTTGGTGGTGCTTCAAATTTTTTTTTTCATAAGGAATGTCCATGCTATTCTTTTGTGATCATCTATGATATACAAATTATCGTGTCTCATTTATAATATTAAATTGTGAGGGTTCCCAAATATCAATGTGAATTACAGAAAAAAAAAATGTTAAGGCTTGTATTGCAATTTGGAATATGCATGTCTGGTATACTTTGAAAGTTGACAATCTTCATAAAGATAAAGGTTGTATTTTTTAGTGATAAATAAATGTAGAAATATCTTTTCCATGTATGTAAAACTTGGATGACCAAGGCGATAATGACTCAACATGGCTTGACTTTCAAACTAGGGCTTTAAGTGTCGAGGCACTGATCTGTGACAATTAGGTGTTGTAGTATGGAACTTGGCAGTTGTTCTATAGCATCTGAGCGCCACCAAACTAAGGTCCTTTTTCCACATCTTTGGCTTGGGCTAGTTCAAAGGAAGGCATTGGGTGTTTGGCAGCTATTTGGCTAACACGTATGTGCTACTCTTATGCTTAGCCCAAAATTTCATCATTTGATCTCCTATCAGTCTAATCACCTATACATTGCATATACAACCACAAATACCATGAAAAGTACAAAAATAATACAAATAATATAAAAATATCAAACATATTTGATACACGTCAAATACCCCGAACTTAAACATTACTTGCATTCCAGTATTTCAAAATCTAATATAGGAATTGGATTAACATTGGGTAGATTTAGATCAAGAATTTTAGTATCTTTTTTAATAATTCAACAAACAATTAAATCGAAATTCTCAAGTCCCTCCTTTAGGTAGAATTCTCATAGCAACACCTAATATTCTGATATAACTCACATTAATAATAGATTTATACAATTCATCTCTAATTACTTATGTGAGATAAAAATTTCATGAAATTAATACTTCACACATGAAATTTGATTGGTTATACACTTAAGAAAATATTAATTTTGTTATTATCATGTTGAATACAAAATTTCAAGGATAAGTTAACGAAGTTTTAATCATATGACTTATTAGAAAAATTTACCAATGCCAATTTTTAATTTGAGCTTCCCTCAAACTTCTCCTATGTTCAAGGATTTTTTCTTCAATTTAAGCACGAGTCATTTTTATTATTCTTTTTCTTTTGATTTTCTTTTTCTTCTCCTTTTGAAGGTATTTTTATTGAGTTTAAATACGGGCCATATCTTAAGTCAAATTTTCAATTAAATCCTAATTTTTCCTAAAAACCTATAATTAAAACAATATTATCTAAGAATTAAATCATTTGAGTAGTGATAAAATTTTACAGCGTTGAGGTATTAATTTAATAAATATTCATTGCTCATATTAAGAACTTATGAAAAATTATATCGATTAGGTATTAATAGATTTATAAATCGAGTGCTAAAGAGTTGTTAACCCTATTCACACACTTTAGAATTTTCTATCGCTGGAATTTAAATCAGCTGCTTGTTATTAGAATTCACCACTACTTTTATCTGTCTTTATCCCGTATTTATATAGACTCTAAAATTAAATCTTTATTTTAATTTAAAGGGCAATACTTATACAATAACTCCCCCAAACTTATTTTGTACTCAGAATGTGCAATGTGCAACCAATACTAAATATAAAAAAAGGTATTGAATCATAAACATACAGAGTAACTAAAAAATACCTACTATACTAGCACATTTAAGATAACAAATCAATAGACAGGCAAATCATAACACATCACTCACATGTTATACAGCAAACCACAAGTACATCATCGAGTTCTAAATTATAAGAAAATTAAACATCATCAATGTGCCTAGACTATGTGAGAGGTAGGTGATTCTAGGAATTCTGGTAAGCAAAGAACACACAAGCACACCAAAAAAGCAAAGAAAATACTTTAGATTGCCTCCTAATAAGAGCTTAGTTTAATGTCCTCAGCTGACTCAACCACACACATACATCATAAAGCATGTAATATAGCAATCACACTACAAGAAAATGCTTGGGTTGTCTCCCAAGTAATTCTTGATTTTATGTCCTCAACCCGGCGATGATAGATTAATCTCAAAATTTTTCTCTAGAATCAAATATCTAGTTTAATAATCTTCAATTTATCATGCAATATTTGAAAAGCATTAGAGAATCGCCTAACGATTTCTATTATGATCCCGCATTTTCCTCTTATTAAAATATTTCTTTTTCTTCCAAATTCTTATTTAAAATCTATAGCACATTTTCTGTTTCCACTCTGAAACATTAGTGAGGAATATAAGGGGTGAAAGAAGATTATGAATTTGAAAATTTATTTTCTCATTTTGCGCTGCAATAGTAAACTCTCATTTTTATAATTCACTATTCGCCCTACCAGGAGCAAGAAAATGTCTACTAAAAATAATAAAGATCTCAGCATCTTCATTCATATCCAACACAATAAAATGATAGAGAAGATGAAATTTTCTACTTTAATTACCATAAACTCCCTTAGGAAAGTAAAAGAACGGTCAGCTTATTGAGGGGTCACTTTGATAGGTTAAAACTCTTCTAGTCCTAGTCTTTTAAACACTGAAAATGAATTAAATTTATGTTAGCTCCTCAGTTCTCATAACTAATCTTATATAGTGCATGATATAGTGCATGAAATGATAAAACTACTCCGGTCTTTTAATTTTTGAAAAAAGTTTATTTTTTAATTATAACAATACTTTTTCAGTTAATACCACGGTTTCAAATTTTGAAAATTTGTATTTTTTGTTCAAAAAATCCTTCATAAATTTTCTATATCTGAGAATTTTGTTCAAATGCTTCAGCAAATGAAATAATCAATAATTCAAATTAATTTATAACCAAATGAAATAAATCCTTCATAAATTTAACATAACTTTTTCACTAACCAGCTCCAGCACAGCTAGATCACAACATATTTTAAATAATCAATTGGTCGAATTAATACTAAATTAAGAATAGAAGATTAACACATCACCACCACAAAACTCCAGTCTAATCACAACATAAAAGTTAAACATTAAAGATAACAAATTCCTTTCTCAATTGGGCCAATAGACCACTAGACTTGCCTCGCACATTGTGGTGAAAGAGATTCAGCTAGTACCAATTAAACCATCCACATCATTGTGAGTGATATCCTTTGTTTTTGTCTCAACAAGCCCAATAAACGCAGAATTATTCTCGACAACAACATGCTTCCAAAATTTCCCGTGGCCCGCTTGCGAGCCCCTCTACAATTTCAAACCATGATAGAATTCATGGATTCACCGAAGGAGACGCGACCCCACTGATCGTAAAAGGTCAGTTGGCAAATAGAGCAAAGAAATATAGCTAAGAGGCTAAGAGTTGATCTTCGCCCACCAAAATTATGTTCACAAGAATGAAATTGGCTTAAAAAGGGGACTTGTGATCCATATAAAAAATCATGATGGGAATGTTCATAATATCTCGAAAGGATAAGCAGATCATGTTTGTTAAATTTTAAAGTTTTAATTTCTTGGTAGAAATTGCCAATGCCAATGACATTAATTTTTGTATCGAACTGTTGAAATATTGAAATAAAAGAGAATAGCAATAAGAGTATGCAAACAAAGTAGGATAGTTATCAAGGCTTAATGATCGGGATAAGGTATGCAAACAAAGCAGGATAGTTATCAAGGCTTAATGATCAGGATAATGAGACAAAAATTTGAGCCATTGGATGGAAATCCAAATTACAACAATATAGGTATGAATCTAAAAACAAATGGATAAACATTTTTTTTAAATTTTAATACACAAATATGATAATTTGGATTATTTGTGCATAGGGATTTTTTCTTGATGGAGTTTGTTTAGGAAATGAAAAGAACTTAATCTTCTTGTAATTGCCTATATAAAGGCTTAATTTCATGCAAAGGAATCACGCAGCAAAAAATTGAAACTTCTCCCAAAGCTTGTTTTTTCTTTCTCAACCTCGTACTGCATAACATTCTGTCCTACAGTACCAAGTTGTTAAAATCAGGAACTGTAGCAAGTTATATTTGGTATTGTAGCAATGTAAGACGATAGACAAACTAGGAAATCATAAAGAAGTACCTACTCAAGATACAATACCTGATATCGCAGATTTGCTGATGTTCCAAGAAAACAACTATAAACAATAGCTGATTTCAATATGGGAGTTCGTTTCCTATTTCCATCCGTGATAAAAGTACCATTCAGATACTGCCGGATGGCATATAAAACATCTGAAGCAGCACCAGCTCCAACACTAGAAATAAAACCAACACTGGCAAGTTTCAGGCCTCCAAATAGCACTGATGCCAATCTCTGATTCACATTCCAGTCCTTTCCAACCATACTCTTTTGGAAGGCATTGTCAGGTAAGGATCCTAGAAATCCTTGTAGCAATTCTAATTTATCCAAGGGGGAGCTATCTTGAATTTGAGAAAGAAATGACAAAGTTGGTGCAGGCAGCCACACTGTAAAAAAATCGACCACAATACCTCTGATGGTATCAGTCAGGACATAGTCAATTTCTTCAAAAAAGCGGCCCTTCCGTCTTTCATATTGTGCTAAGAGGGTCGTTGTTACTGATATAGTTTCTTCAATAGCTAAACGATTAAGAAACTTGGGGTCAGCCAGTAATCTTTCTCGAAACCCCTGTAAAATAATGAGAATAAAGGCTGATATTCCTGATATCAACTTTCCTACGTAAAAGCATTAATGCAACTCTTACAAATGCAAGTATTTATTCATTTACCCATCCAAAGCATCACGAATTTCAAATATTCATGAACAAGCTACGCTTGGTAGGAAAAAGGAAATTGTATCAACATTTACTTACTTGAAATCGATGAAGGAGTTCAGCAATAATAGGATACTGCTCAAGGTCAAAAAAGTTTTGCAGTATCTCAGGAGATACTACTCCAAGGTCAAGACCTTTTTGTAGATCCTGCATAGCAGAGGAAATATGGAATTCAGAAAAAATTAGTTTTATACTAAAAAGTACAAAACAATGAGAGAAAAATAAAATAGCTGCTTCATTAGGGAAATATAACACAATTATCTAGAGGTAAAACACTTCATTAAAATAATCCAGAAAAACAAGATTTAGGTTTAAATAGAGAAAATGAGATCTTATAGAATGAAAAAGCGAAAGAATGCAAAAAACTGTCCAAAAAAAAATAATAATAAAGATGTTCACCACTGAGATATGGACCATAGGATCCAGAAGCTCCAAGGTGGAGGAAAGACACCCAACATGAATGAAAATGATGCATTGCCATCATAGCCTTAATGTATCTGTTAGGGGTAAGCATAATAAACTCTTCTTTCTTGCATTTTTCCAGAGTGTCGCATGTGGTGTTTGGCAAGAATTAAAGAGAAATGATGGCATTTCATTCCAACATTTTTGCTGAATGTATACAAATCAACGAGAGCTTCTAATAAGAAAAATACAAAAAAACAACTGAAAAATAAATACATAATTAAATACAATAAGATAACCCATGGATTTGTGAGGTGGCAGCAATGATCCAATGATCAATGAGGTGGCAATGAGAATGAGGAAAAGAAGAAATCAATGGAGGGTTAGTTCCGTGCTGCCATCTTGAGCCAAATATAAAGGCAGCATGGACTTAAGAAAAGAAGCAGGCAGATATGAAGGCAGCTGAGTGTAACAGTAGCAGAGCAATTTTATTTGATATTTTCACTCCCCCTAAGAAAATGAATGGATATTATCCATTCGAAATTTACATATTATTTTTTTTATAAATTGCCCCTAATAATCCTTCTGTGAGAAATGCGAGCAAGTTGTCCATCTGTGACAACGAATGATGTAGAAATTAAACCATTGAATAGCTTCTCCTTTATAAAATAACTTATATTTATGTTCGATCAGTAGCAGGAGATTATGATCAATGTCCTGAAGTTTCCCTCTTATCGATTATACTCTTGACATAATTAGCATCTGCACAGGCTGCAAGTGTCAGATCCTCCCCCTACATGAATAAAATCACTTTACCTGGAATTTCTTAGAGATATTGTAAAATTTCATATACAATATCAAAATGTGATTCTTTAAGATTGTGCATGAAATTGCTTACCACGCTAAAAACACTTAGCAGTATATGACAAGTCCACCATAAGTCTTTGACATGCAATGTTTTATAGCTGTCTTCTGGAACATTATCAAGTTATAATTAAATTCCATGAAACTTTTGTTGGCTTGCATCGCAACCTTCTTGTTTCTTTCAATTGTTCGGCTATATATTTATGCTTCAATGTAAGAATTTATATCAAGAGTGTGTAACGTCAATGCAAAGAAAGAACTTTAGCTTACCTAATTATTTGACTTTAAATTATTGGAATAACCTTCTCTTTGAAGTCACTAAAACTTTAGAGTAACTACCTTTTATTTAGATGTCCTTCACAAAATCTGACAATGCGAAGGCTCTCCCTGAAACCGTGTGTTAGGTAGATAGTGTATGGTCACATTGACTCTATTTTTGACACATGTTAAGTATTAACATGGCAAACCTCTAAAACCATAATAACCTTGGAGATTGCTTCAATTGCCCATTTCCATAAGACCTTAATATTACTCCTCAAGATCAATATAAAAGAAGACATTCTTTATGATAAATTATTACATTTTGTAGTTCTAGTTAGATGATTAAGGAGAACCATCCAAACAATATTTTCTCAGTGAAAAAAAGAAAATTTTAAAATATCCAATCCCCGTTTGTTTGAATGTAGTCATTTGCCACTAATCTGACTTTATACTTTTGTAATGAGTTTTTAGATTTGTACTTCACAGCAAAAGACCAATCAATACAATATTAGTTTCCTTCCTGTTAATAGTGCCACCAGTTCTTATATTTTATTCTTTTAAAGCACTTTGATGTCTTCTTGCATGCCTTTATTTCAATTCTCATTACTTTAAAGACAATTTATTACGAGGACGCCTAGCCTAAGGGCAAATTTGTCTTTTGTACGCTTAAAGACAAATTAGTCTCTTATTATTATTATTGTTGGGTATATACATGAGAATGAGTTGTGAGTCATAGGTCTAGGCTTTTATGAGAGATTTCCTACCTCTCGAATTGTACGAATTGGGAGAGACAGCCTACTTGTCAAATTGTAGGTATTTATCATTCATGTGAGTTACTTGGATTTTTGCAATAAAAATTTTCTTTTCCCCGTAATTTCTACAAAAATCTATGCGGATTTAAGATTTTGGGAATCAAATCTAAGGATCAAAAGCTCAAGCAAATTGCGGCTTCTTGGGCGAAAATTTTTCACAGCTCCACGGGGCTAATGAACTCTGTTTCGCAATCAATTTTTTTAATATGAGAAATTCATTGTACCTTTCCTGAGCTTTTTCACTGACGAATTTCTTCCTATCGAATGTTCCTTTTCTCTTACCCTTTTGTCTTACGATCCATTGCAAATCTAGATAAAAGCAAATGAAGGAAGAAATCAGTCTAAATATAGTTGATATTTGACTTATAAATGCAGGTATAGTACAAAATAAACAATACCCAAGTGATTTTTTTTTCTTCTCCATTATCTTTCCAAAGAAATCCCGAAATCTCAAGAATTCAGAAGAAAACCACAGCTAAAGAAGAAATGGCAAAGCTTAGGGATGAGTTTTATCTTGTATAAGATGAGATGTAGATGTTTCAAGCCCTAATAATGCATACACGAGCCTGGATGGTGAAACCCTAAGTGACCTCTTCGCAGCTTCGAGATGGGTTGGAGGGGGATCCGCGTGAAATAAAATGAGCCGAGCATGGGTCATTTTCGATATTTATCGGGTTGAAGCGTTGGAGCTTAAGTGTCGTGGTTTGGCGCCTAGGCGCCCGGTTAAACAGCACTATGGCATTACATTCAGTGCCTAGGCGCCCACTTAAACGGCGCCATAGCGCCACTTTAGACGTGGCAGTGCTTTTTTTATAATAAATGTGAGTTAATTAATTAATTAAGCATCGCCTTGACTTAGGTGTATAGATCTTAATTCGCACGACCCAACTTCATTTTCATCATTTAATTTTAGAATTTTTAATCCTCCCCCAGTTTCATTTGCTTCAGTACACTCACAAACACAAAGGATCGAAAGAGCTAACTCTTCCTCATCACATCTCCTTTCTTTACTTCCAATTTCTGACACAATCACCTTCCAAAGATCAATTGGGTGTTTTTAAAAATTTTGTTAAGGTAAATCATTAACAAGATTGTACCTGATATGTTGGTTTATATGTTACCAACCTTATGTACTACCTCGCCTCATAAGATATACTCCACTAACAATATTAAGAATACTATCAAGGTCATCCTCACGTTCATCGCCAGCTAGGTTATTAAACCCATCTGATGCCAACAACGTCAGATAAAAGAAGAAATAGAATCTCAATGGACCTGTCCAATGTCCAAACCCAACGTACCTCCAGTAAATCCTGAAGATTAATTAAGAACTGATCGTAGAGAACTAGTTAATCAAACTACCACCAGAGAACACATTTAAGCTTAGCCACTACGAGAAGTTAAAGAATCGTCACACTCACAACTTACTAAAATCAAAGCAAACCAGTTCAAACTAAACAAGTCAACACACAACTTCACTCAAATCATAACATATCACTGCTAACTAAATCACACTAAACTATAAACAAACATACAAATACAAACTTTGGTTGCCTCCTAATAAGTGTTTGGTTTAACGTCATCAGCCTGACAAAACCAAGCTCTTACACCAGTTGACCCAACATTAAAACTTCATTAAAAATGAATTGATTTCCACCTATATAAAGTTTTAGTATTTGTCTAATAACTTTAAATATTCTTCCACTTTTAGGATCATTGATATCAATTGCACCAAATGGATAAACTTTAATTACAGTAAATAGCCCCGACCACCTGGACTTAAGTTTTCCAGGAAATAATTTCAATCTTGTATTATACAGTAAAACCTCTTGTCCATGTTCAAATATTTTTCTTAGAATATTCCGATCATGCCAATTTTTCATCTTTTCTTTATAAGTTTTTGCATTTTCATAAAATTTATTTCTAATTTCCTCGAGTTCATTTAAGTGCACAAATTTCTTCTCACCAACTTCTTTTAAATTATAATTAAATTCATTAATAGCCCAATAAGCTTTATGTTCTAATTCCACTAGCAAATGATAAGTCTTTCTAAATATAAGCTTGTATGGTGACATTTTTATAGGAGTGTTACAAACAGCCCTAAATGCCCATAATATATCATCAAATCTAATAAATCAATCCTTTGTATTTGAATTAACAGTCTATTCTAAAATTCTGTTAATTTTTCTATTAGAGACTTCTGCTAAACCACTGATCTGAGGATGATGAGCTGTAGCAATCCTATGTTTAATACCAAAATTTTCAACATTTGAAAAATTTCTTGGGTTTCTTCAGATACCTTGATCCTAACACTTTTCATATAAATATGGGTCATCTCAAAAGAAAAATATTGCATTATGAATAAACTTCTTCTGTTGATAGTATGTTAATCCATATGATATAATGTCACTGACGATAAAATTATTATATCAGTATACCATGAAGCATGTCAATCAGTAATAGCATACACTTGCTCATCAGAAAAATTTTCATTAATTTCATCTTCAAAATTGCATGAATTTTCATGTTCCAATCTAGATAAATTATCAGCAATTTGATTATCAAATCCTTTCCTAATCACTACTTAAAAATTAAATTTCTGCATTAGAATGACTCATCTAATTAATCTTGGTTTAGCATTATTCTTTAGCGCAAGATATCGAATAGCAGAATGATCGGTGTGAATAACACATTTAGTTCTGATGAGATAGGATCTAAATTTATCAAAAGCATATACTATTGTCAATATTTCCTTCTCCGTTGTGATGTAATTAACTTGAGCTTCATTAAGGGTTTTACTGGCATAAT